GTCGAATTCGAACCTCATGAAAATTCATTTAACTCTATTACGCTCATCCGAGGTCGAGTCCGAACCTCGCCAAAACTATGAGGTCGAGTACGAACCTTAACACTTTCATCCGAGGTCGAATTCGAACCTCATGAAAATTCATTTAACTCTATTACGCTCATCCGAGGTCGAGTCCGAACCTCGCCAAAACTATGAGGTCGAGTACGAACCTTAACACTTTCATCCGAGGTCGAATTCGAACCTCATGAAAATTCATTTAACTCTATTACGCTCATCCGAGGTCGAGTCCAAACCTCGCCAAAACTATGAGGTCGAGTACGAACCTTAACACTTTCATCCGATGTCGAATTCGAACCTCATGAAAATTCATTTAACTCTATTACGCTCATCCGAGGTCGAGTCCAAACCTCGCCAAAACTATGAGGTCGAGTACGAACCTTAACACTTTCATCCGAGGTCGAATTCGAACCTCATGAAAATTCATTTAACTTTATTATGCTCATCCGAGGTCGAGTCCGAACCTCGCCAAAACTATGAGGTCGAGTACGAACCTTAGCGTAATTCACTCTACATCAATTTGAGGTCGACTTTGAACACTCGGCGCTAATAAATTATGGGAATTGCAGCCACAGCCAGCACAAATTTTATCCTACAGGTATAGCAGAGCAGGGGAACTAGAAGTTCTTGTCCAATGGCACAACCTACCAAAATTTGAGAACTCGTGGGAGACAGCTGCAAAGATGATTACCACATTTCCACAATTCCACCTTGAGGACAAGGTGATTGCGCTAGGGGGGAGTATTGATAGGGAGCCCATAGTTAAGAGGGTCTATGTTAGGAGGAAAAGGGGGGACAATTAGTTATTATGTTTACTAACTGATAGTTGTTTTGTGGAGGCAGCTAAATTGTATAAATATGAGAGAATCATAGAAGTAGGTAGGATTGTAGGAAAATAGTGGAATAAGTCTTGAGAGATAGGCACTCTCGAATTTGCCCTGTATCATTGTATTCTTCCCTTCTGGTTTGCGTTGACCAGCAAGGGTTCAAGAACAATTTTATAACAGTCTTTCGTTTCTTTCAAAATCTTCCTTAATACCGAGTTGAGATCTATCAAAAAGTTTTTATTCTTTTCACTGTTTCCTATACAAACTTTTGAAATTGAAAATAAGGTGAAAAGAAAGTGACATTTTTGCAATGGAAAAATGAAAACAATAAATGTTTTGTCAAACCAAATGACCCCTTGGTAACAAAGTCAAGAAATCACTACTTAAACAAATGTAACAAAGTCAGAACAATGTGCAAACCTGGGCAACTACACAAAGAAGCTCGTCATGAGACAAGACAGCAGTTTTATGATACCGTTGATAGAGATCAGCTCCAAAAGCACCATATGGTAGCCAGTCAGCAGGAGCAAAATTGACTGCTTCTGCACAATTCAAACCTGAGAACACAAACAAATCATACAAAGCAAAGCATGAAATACTTCAGATTGTATTTAAGCTGGTAATTTTTTATGGAGACAGAAATAAAACTGCTTACCAAGATTGAAACCTCCATGATAAGATCTGGGGAAGGTAATAACAAAATTCCCAGGCTCCTGGCAAAAATCAAAATGAAAACCATGTCAAAGATTAATTATGTAAAAGGATAAGCAAATAACAAGCAAAAGCAGTAATACTAAAATGGAAGACAAACAGAAATTCTTTACTGGTCGATTTTTCCCTGGATATTCGAGAGATCTAGGTCTCTCCGTAGTCCATATTCTATTTTACCAAATGACTGTCTTTTCTCAAACCCTCTTCCTATTTATCAGCTGCTACTTGTATGCCATATGCTAACATAAGTCGATCCTTAATGGGCATATTCTATTGAAGACCCTTTCCACTAATTACTAATATAAAACCTATCAATACCCCCTCCCCCCCTAAACATTCACCTTGTCCTCAAGGTGAATAGCTATGGAAGCTATAGATAAAGCTCCCACGTCAATGTTCTAGTTGTTTGAAGAGTGAAGGACCAAGCCAACCAAACAATTGCAGACCAAAATGAACTTTGGATCCTCCTGGAGTCCTGGATCAAACACAATTATGTGATTGCCTCCATTCTTCTTTAATGCTCTGTTTCTTGCAGTATTTTTGCCTATAAAATAAAGTGGCAATGCTGATGCAATGTTGATGAGGTCCTATTGCTCCATTCCATTCTCGTAATCTAAGAAAAAAAAATCACTTCCTTTTCAGATTCCTTATTCTTCTCTTTAATCAATTGGGATTGATCCATGAATTAAGAAAACGATTTCAACCCCTTCTGTTTTCTATAATCCTTCATCCATATATCTGACTCTAGCTTGATACTAGCCACCATATGAGCACCAAAGTTTGGCAGTTCAAACAGTGGGAGCTTGGACAACATGTGTAAAACCTCAAACTCCGTCACTGCTGATGACCAACTGCTCCCATGGCTCTAATGGTGGTGATGGTCAACTGAATTTGGTTCTGGTTCACTGAAGGTCGTTTCTTCTCCAAAGTGGTTCTTGTTTTCCACCTTCCAATAGTCATTTTTGCTTCTGTTTTCAAATTCTTGATCAAGAATGTTGGGTGGTTGTTGTTTTCTAGCTTCTCCGCGGTCAATTCTCCCTCTTCACGTTTCTTTCGATCTTTTTGATCTTGCATCTCTACTTGTTGGGTTTCTCCTTCTTGGGATGCTTCCTTTTTCAAGATTTCCGCTCCTCCCAATTCTTGCTTCTTTTTTGTATCTATTTCTGACTTCCTTTTGTCATCAGCTTCTGCCCCCTGCTCCATTGATTCATAGAAGTCCTCTTAGATACAAAATATCTGAATCAAATTCTGGCTGGAACTCTTTGAGCAAAGGCTTCATGCATTGCCACCATGATGCACTTGGATGGTTCTCTTTCCACACATACCACCCAAAATGAAAGCACGTCCTCGCATAGCCTTCCCAACAATTTTTATCTGACTCTAGCTTGATACTAGCCACCATATGAGCACCAAAGTTTGGCAGTTCAAACAGTGGGAGCTTGGACAACAAGTGTAAAACCTCAAACTCCGTCATTGCTGATGACCAACTGCTCCCATGGCTCTAATGGTGGTGATGGTCAACTGAATTTGGTTCTGGTTCACTGAAGGTCGCTTCTTCTCCAAAGTGGTTCTTGTTTTCCACCTTTCAACGGTCATTTTTGCTTCTGTTTTCAGATTCTTGATCAAGAATGTTGGGTGGTTGCTGTTTTCTAGCTTCTCCGCCGTCAATTCTCCCTCTTCATGTTTCTTTCGATCTTCTTGATCTTGCATCTCTACTTGTTGGGTTTCTCCTTCTTGGGATGCTTCCTTTTTCAAGATTTCTGCTCCTCCCAATTCTTGCTTCTTTTTTGTATCTATTTTTGACTTCCTTTTGTCATCAGCTTCTGCCCCCTGCTCCATTGGTTCATAGAAGTCCTCTTAGATACAAAATATCTGAATCAAATTCTGGCTGGAACTCTTTGAGCAAAGGCTTCATGCATTGCCACCATGATGCACTTGGATGGTTCTCTTTCCACACATACCACCCAAAATGAAAGCACGTCCTCGCATAGCCTTCCCAACAATTTTTATCTATTCTTGCTTAGTTATGCCTAAGGCATCAAAATGCTGCTCGGTGTTAATCAGCCACCAATAGGTTTCTTTACCTTCAAATTCTGGAATCATCATCAAGAATTGATACCCACAGCTCCAAGATCAGAGCTCTGACACCAGTCAACAGAAACTGGATCAAAAATGGAAGACAAACAGAATTTCTTTATTGCTTGATTGTATCTCTACAAAGAATTCCCTGAATACTCATGAAATCCAGGCCTATCCCTAATCCCAATTCTATTTTACCAAATGACTGACTCTTCTTCTCAACTCCTCTTCCTATTTATAGGCTGCTAATGATATGCTAGCATAAACCCACCCTTAATGGGCTTAATGAGTTGCAGGCCCATTCCACTAATTATTATTATAACTAACTGACCTATCATACTGCTGTATAGATTTCCTGATATGCTAGCATAAACCCATCCCTTAGTTGGCCTAATGTGTTGCAGGCCCATTCCACTAATTATTATTATAACTAACTGACCTATCATACTGCTGTATAGATTTCCTGGAATATATTGAGTGGAGATACAGTAAAAAAGACCTATCATATGTTTGGACGACATATGAACTCATGTAAGAGTGGGGGGCAGCTGCCCCCACTTATTTCTTTTGTCTTTTGTAAATATAATATACTTATAATTATAAATTATGTATATAATTTATATTATAAATATCGGTCCCACTAATTTATTTTAGTCTAGATATTTCATTTTTTAATTAGATATTCTTAATATTATTTCTCTTTTTCTTTAAATATGAATTTTACACATTAATTTTGTAACTAAAAAAAATTCTCTTTCAATTATGTCAAATTATATTTCATTTAACTTTATGTGTATAAATAAATTTTTTATTTGTCTAACCTTTCAATTTATTATATTTTATCTCTTTTTTAATTAAATTTTAATATTTTTTTAAAAAACTATCAATAATTAAAAATAATTTATATCGAAACTTAAATTACTGAATTATATATTCAAAACTTAGTTTATATATTTAAATATATTTATTTAATATTTTAATTATAATATAATTTAAACATTAAAAATATTTGTTAAATTTTAGTTATAAAAATGATTTTTGCTTATCAT